CAGATCGAGTTATTTAAGACGAAGTTGTAGCCGTTTCAATGTGGCTAGGTGTGCCAGACCAAAACTACCCAGTCCCTCCTTAAACGCATATTTGCAGACGCGCTATTTGTCGCCTTGTCGATATTGCGTGCGGAGAAAAGATGCGCGCGCGAATGCACAATCGCATTACTTCAAAAAGGAATATAAAAAGTGGCCAAAAAACGCTCTCTTTTTTCTCTTACTGAAATTCTTTAATTTGTTATCGCAAATGCAAACTTATGTTATCACTYAGCAAAGTAATCTAATTAAGACACTTAACCATAACGTTAGGATTCATACGTTTATTCATTTGACCATCAATCATGGCTGATTTTTATCTGAAATGGCAGTTTCAACAAATGTGTTGTAATTCAGAATAATAAGATRATATCTAGTCTGTGAACAGAATACAGTACTCTTACTCTCTGAGTCAGCGTTTTATTTAAGTCTCTAAGAAGAGAATCAGGGCGGCTCTGGGCGAATCTTACCTTTCATTGATTACTGTCGTTATTTTCTTCAGAAATCAGTTGCAACATTTATCATAAATGTACCCAATATAGAGCTGTCTGATCTTTTCATATTTTCCCTATACCGCCTAAAGTCAAATGAAATTGATATCAAGTTTCCCAAGGTAATTTAGTATTCTTCTCAACACTTTACGRGTGGTCGTACATTAGTATACAAAGAACAATACACTACAATTAATAACACAAAAAAACAGCGGCTTGTTATTAACATCTGTTTCTGCAAAGAATAAATTTCTCTTAAGAAAGCGCGACTGGTTGCTACTTTACATTGGAAAATGTGAGTCGACAAGAAAGTGCACAGACAGTTCTGTCAAGGACAAATKATTTATTTTTAGGAAAACGAGCGCCTAAAGAGCCATTAAAAGAAATAAGGGAATTAATTTAGATCCAAAGAAGATAAATAATAACTTAMAACCAAGAATATTGGATAAAGAATTAATCCAATATTCTACAAAGAGCTCTAAGCTACGAGGGGAAAATTGATAAATATATAAAAACCATAAACTTTTCGTTTGAAAATTTCTTCCTATCCACTCTGTGTGCCGTAGAACGTCACGTTGACATAGTGTGCCACTTTTCTATTTAAATGATATCCCCAAAATTATTATCTTACGGCCCATAATGATAGGTTTTCATTCCCTCATTTTGTTTTCAAGTCTATTAGCCGTTGATTGCAGAGCACAAAACATCTCTTAATGATTGAGATGATTCTTTAAAAACAGTCTCATGAATATTGTATAACTTTTGTTCAGTTTACCTGTCTTAACACTTCAAGAATTCGCCACTTCAATGACCAACCTTTTTCTCTTTCGGTTTAGAGTCTTTAATTAGGCCTTCAAAACGACTTTAGATAATCTAGATGTCTGCCGCGACTTCAGATATTAAGCTAGATGTCTGCCGCAACTTCAGACATTAAGCTAGATTGAATGCGGGGACTTTTTATATCAGAAATTTTTCAGAAAACACTAATATATGTACATAATCGTGGGCATATGGTCTAGCTTGATTGTGTTAGGAATAACGGAACGCAAATATTATATTTTTAAGCCATTGTACTGCTTTTCTCTCTCTCTCTCCTCTTCCTCTCTCTCCCTCTCACACTCACTCACTCACTCACTCACTCACACACTAATTGACACACCAATTGCAAACATTAAAAAATTCGTTTCTCGGCTCGTTTTCATTGCTACGGAAAATACAAAGGTCAAATTAACGCATAGGTTCTTTACTTTCGGAGTTTAAAATGTCACTTTCGTGTTGTGTTGTTCGTATCTATTTTTCGGGCAGATTTCATTCGAAGCAGTTATGAATTTTAAAAAACTCCGCAATACTTAYAGTTATTATTATCATTTATTCAATCAGACTACATTCAATCATTTGGTATTCACAGAATATCATTACRATTAGTATGGACTTCAAAATAAACCTTAAGCAAGTGTTCAGCCGTATATATCCTCAGTTCCCGCGCAATGTTAAGCGTTTGGCAGCCCTGGCGTCATTTCAATCATCTTTTTAASTTTGTAATATTATGTTCATTATGTTAGTTTATCAGATAACAGTCAACAGCATTTATATTATAATAATCCCGTAATCCTTATAACTGTAAACTTTAAATTGTATGTTATTATATGGATTGCATTTGTACAWAGTAGTTTTCTTCTTCCCGCAGCGATTCAAAAAAAAAAAGATTTGTACAGATTTCAAACCTTCCATTCTTACTTCATTCATATTTGATCATTTGTTGCTATGAAATTACGTGTATAATTCATTTTCATTTAAATTAGAATTTTCTTTATTTCATATCAATATTTTATACCCTTCTATTTCAGTTGCAGCACACTAATGATGAATGCAGTCAGATCGACTTCGCTACTGAGGTACGAAGGATAAAGAAGGCTTCCTCCAAGTTCCTCGTGTAAAAAAAACGTCCAAGTTTCCTTCTTGTCTTTTAAAAATCAATGGTAAAATCTGAATGTTTGTAAATACTGTTACATCAAATACTAACTCTTTGAAAATATGACTCAAGTGCTTATTTATTTATATTCAGTCTAAGTTTACAAAAACTGCTTTGGTAGGATTTACAGTACATCACTATTAACTAGTTCAGAAGAAGCCAAAATGGACAAAAGGTTTTTGGTCTGCATCTTGGTGCTATCGTCAGTCTTACAAATTCAGTTTTGCTCTTCCCAAGAAGTTGAAATTCGAGTCGGTGAGTAGATTTGTTATTAACTTTAGCCAGATTAAATATATATATACTTCATGAGTTTGTTTTATGGCACAGGAATCAATTTAGATTATTCAAAGCTATTCCATCTCACATTACATATAAATAACGATTATTTAAAAGTATTTTATGCTGCTGAAATAAATACTAAAACGTCACGGGTTTTAAAAGATAAATCACTACACTCAMCTTCCAAAGGAGTTGAGTATTACGAAATAGTGAACACAGAAGAAAAGCTTGTGGCCCAGACTTTTTTCACTACGTTATATTTTTAAAGAATATTTTTTTATCTTTTTTTTTTAATCATTACGATATACTTCGTCTTGAATCACAAAGAAACCGTTTACCAGCTATATAAGGGAAATACAAAACAACCATGTTCAACTATCTTTGCCTTTTCGTATAAGCAACAAAAAAGGGGGGATATTTCTTAAAAATGAGCTAGCTTTTTATTCTTTTAATTAGCTTTTATTTTAAATGTATGATATTTTGAGCTTCAATAACTGATTATTTCAAAATGGAATCCTGCTTGTGCAGACGCGTGAGGATTTCCCGCCTTTTGAGCAACAGACGTCAAGGCCTACTGTGAAGCCATATACATATACCCAAGGCTACATTTTCATTCTACTTGTATGTGTGCGTGTTTTTATTCCAGTCAGGAGTTATCTACTTAAGCACAATGACAAAAAACATTTCGCTATTGCTCTCGTGGATTTCTCTCAGACACTGTAACAAGATAAGAGACATAATATTCAGATAAAAACGGATATYTATATTTTTACACAAAATTTTGTCTCAATTTCAAAGTCAATAATTTCGACTACCAAGAATCCCTAACCAAGTATGAGATAATCTACATGATTAAGATTCCTGGCGGGAAGTCTCATAAATATTGGTATGAAAATAATACACGCGTAAAAAGATAAAGAATTTTAAAACTTAATGCTTCATAAGAAATGACTTTTTTTCCCAACTAGATCAGGGCAAACCAAAAAAATATRATCGGAGCGCAAGGAATATGCTGGCTCTTTTTTATTTCGTCCATCGTCGTATTCCATTCTAATCATTTCTATTATAGATGTGTTTGTTTTGAATGCCTTATAGTTGTTTTCCTCTTCTCTCTATTTATTCTTCACTTGATCTATTTTAGTATTTCCTTTTATTATATACATACTGAGAAATACTCACTGAAAATCTATTCAGTAAATTTTCGTCCATTCACTGGTCTCAGCCAATCAGAGAGAYAAAAAAACGTGAAAACAAGTCGTTCGCCGATCTGATTGGACGAACGATATTTTTTGCACTGCACCGTTGAATGGTTTCCATCCCTGCGCTCATAGACTTGGTAGCTTTGTCATTGAGCGAAGCAGTACATCTTGTCAGTGCTGTTGTTGTTCTTATTTTACTAAAATAGGTCATTTTTTACTGTAAAAAGTAAACAAAGGCATAAAAAATGGAAGAAAATATATTTGTTACTCCCAATGACACTGTAGAGGTTATTTAGAAAGTCTACGAAACAAGAATACTAAGGGAAAAACCAAGCGAGATGTGAGGCTACTGAAAAGCTATCTAACATCACAAAATGAGGAAAGAGAAGTTCATGAAATAGAGCCACAAGAGCTAGATAGATATCTAGCAGAGTTTATTCGTTCGGTTAGACGAAAAGATGGAGAGGACTATGAATGGAATATTATCAAATTTCTCAGTATGTATATATATCTTTTCTTCTTTCCATGAGTACTGGCCGTTTGGCTCTTCTTTTTCCTCTCCAGTTTCCTTTCCTACTTTCTTGCTTTGCCTTTTGCTGATTTACAAGAATGAATCAAGTACCGCCCTTTTTTCAAATTTGTCAAATCCTCGTCACTTTTGGCGCAGGCCAGTGTAGGAGGTGTTTACATTAACGTCCAACACCACTGACTTTCGCCTCACAGGTTTTAGCAAACACTATAGCGTGACTATAACTAACAATCCTTGACCTTGGAAATGTGGCTTCGAATCCAGTACTTAACACGTGCAGTATGAAAAAAAACATGCTTTTTGTGGGAGATTACTCGGGATAAGATCAATCCAAGGAAAAAGAAATGAAAGATAATGAGATAGCAGTCAAATGAAAAAAAAAGAAAAAAAAAAAGAAAAAGTCCTTTATCTTTTGCATTGCAATTGTCATTAGAAGCATCTCACCTCTCGGTACTAAAGAATACCAATGAATTTGGTATCCGCTTATTGCCTGTGGGCACAACTGAACCTTGAATTTTGGGCCAACAAATAGTTATAGTAGGGGACTAGAAATGAAATTACCCTACCAGAAGCATGGCATGTAGAGGACTTCKGTATCATGTCAGGAACGACGAAAGTTTTATTCAATTAGGATGGGAGCTAGCTAGACCCCACAACAGTCATAATATGATTAAGTCTTGCTCTCGCAATGTCGCATGCGCAGAAAGGGAAAGTAGCCCATCCCTCTGTGAACCCTGCCAATCKCGTACCACGAGCCTGCGCATATTTCCTTCSGGAAAATTGCGCWTGCGTCAAAAAATGGATTATGCCAGAGCCCTCGTTCGGACGCAGGCCAGAAAATACGCAGKCTCTGGATACAAGATTGTGAACCTGGCCGAACCCTGCATGATTTCTGCCTAATAAGCTACATAAATAGAAAACGCAACAACGAGTAATAATTTTTAAAAAGTCAAAGATCCTAGGAAATCTAATTGATTTTTTCTCGTAATAATCATCAGCGATAGTAAAGTCCTTCTTGAGCCATTGCGGTTTTCTCTTTAATGTTATCTTTCAAAATTGTGTCTCTGTTAAAATTTGAAAAAATATTTTTCATCGAGGAATAAGAATTGCATAATTAATACTTGATCTACAGAGCAGCCACCAAGAACACTGGATTTTGTACAATAGATAACAATTTTAATTTTAAAAACAACACAACACTTTTAAATTTGAAAGACATGTTTCGACTTGTCACAAATCCATCTTCAGTTAAGTGAAGCTAATTACAGTTTACAAGGTTATATATAGGCGTTTTCAATTTTAACCTTCCAATTTATCGAGTCCTAAAAGCTTGCTCTGACGTGATGTAGGGCAGATCATGGCGGAACTCACAAGTAGATTAGATGCTAAGAAACACCCTTTCTTCATGGAAGAGGCCTAATAAACTCTTCTAATTCATATGCATGCATGTCCACCCTGGACTTGTGGGTGTACTATGTATATCATTGACTGAATTTGCATGTACTTTTTTATCGAGATCAAAATACATAAATTCAATGAAAAAAAATTTGAAAGAAAAAATGTGCACCAAGTATTCTCAGCTCCTAGGATTAGCTTAGAATCCAATAACTCATCATAAATAAGCGTGCTGATTGGCTAGAGATGACATATACAAGTGGGTATTGCACAGGAAATCGCATGAAAAACAAGGAACCCCCTTTACTCAAATTTTATATTAAATCTCGAAAGGTAGTAGAGAAACTAAAACCAAAAAAACCATGTCTCTACTTTTAAAATACAGCATAGCACTACTATATATCATATGTATCAGKAACGTACATCACTATACTGACAGTGAAATAATGGATAGAGCAGACGATACCATATTTAAAATGGTGGCGTATCAACACATTTATTCATCTGTGTCGCACCCCATCACAGTCATCATACAAAATTTCCTTACTAAACGATGCAAATTTTCTGCTTATTCTCAGAGTCGATTACCGAAAGTATTATCCACTTACTATCACTCAATAACAGTGATTTTTTTAATTTAAGGAGCGCTTCTGGGTTTTAACGCAAATACCTCCCARAAATCACCAGAAGAAATCGCTTTCTACCTTGCGATCGAATGGATTAATCAGAATGATTTTTTACCCACGGGAAAACGACTTCGAGGTTTCGTAGAGAAAGTGGATCCAAACGATGATTATGACTGCATATACCATGGTGAGGTCCATTATTAACTGTCTCAGTATTTAATTGATAATTACTATAAAAATGAATATATTAACGTCTCAAAGTCTTATAGCTAAGCACACATACCTTTATAATAGACGTCCTCGACTCTGGAGTGCTAGAGCGTAATGTTGTCCCATTTCAGACCACGTGTCATTCCCTTGAGAACAATATTCATTGTTTGAGTTGTATCCATATTCATGTGTCTTCTCATGCGCAACCGAGCGCAAACCGTAACCAAAAATAGAGAAATGATACTCTAGGGAATGACACGTGGTCTGAAATGGGAAAACATTACGTCAGATCCGAGTAGGTCTATTGGGGAGATCTCTGTCTGTCTATCTCTAAAATTTCTATCAAAAATAAAATGATCATGTAATGATCTGAAATTTGCATCTTTTAAAGCCGATAAGCTCCTATCTCTTGGAGTCGTCGCTCTTATTGGTCCTCTGGCAAGTACGCCAATCCCAGTAATCGGACCCTTGACTTCTGTCGCGCATGTACCGCAGATACTTCCTCTGACCAGTTGGGACACTTCAGATTTAGATGTAGATGGATACGAGTATTTATTGCGCATGAGTCCTACCGAGAAACTGAAGGCTCAAGCCATGATCGACATTGTCAAACACTACAAATGGAAACAAGTTGCTGTTTTAAGTCTACGAGGAGACGAATACCCAGAATGTAAGAAACTTGAGTCTGTTGATTGATTTCAGTAAGGAATTTTTATTTACTAAAACAATGGTACGGTGCAATGATATTTGTCGCCCCATGTAAGGGAATTTGAAATCCGGAATCCGGAATCCGGAATCCACGAAATTTTAGGCTTTGGAATACGGAATCCGGGCCTTGGAGTTTATAATGGAATCCTGAATCCACCCTTTTGGAATCCGGAATCCGCTACTTTGAAATTTAAAGTATACAATCAAATGCTATCGCCTCGACCTAGGACTGAACCGATGTAGCCCCTCCCCCACTGTGTAATATCTCCACCAAGAATATCTGTCATCGGATGCTGATTTAATTGATAGACGATTCTACTTATACTGGCAAGTATATGAAATATAATTTTCCGAGAAAGTATCGGAAAATTAACGATATGGAATCCGGAATCCGCAATACAAAAGTTTTGGAATCCGGAATCCAGACCCTTGGAATCCATAATCCAGAGTCTCGGAATCCGGAATCCAGAGCTTGGAATCCACCATAAGTCCGGATTCCCTTACATGGGGCGATATTTGGAAATAACATTTATTTCCTACGGTCTTCGGATTCATGTTTTGGTTTAGTTTTCGGGTWATTAGTTTGAATAAAATATATTCGCATGATTTCCGAACATTAGATATTTATAGGGTCAAACTCTGCAAAAGCTGTTAACTTACTTTCAAAATCAATTTCTAGATAATCAAGGACAAAATGCCTTTCGTATATTGGCGTCTGAAAATGAGATCGACGTTCTCTTTGATCGATTAATCCCGCCAAATCCGAGAGACAGTACGAAGATTAACCCAAAAGATGAAATGTATGGCTTAACTCAATCAGATCTAAGGGTCGCTATTGTGTTCTGCCCAGCTTGGTCTGTGAAGGAACTTCTATATGTTGCAAATAAATACAAGCTGATTGAAGAATGGGCCTGGATATTCTCGGATCTTGGAAGCAGTGATGTAAGTTGCTTACAGAATTATAGAATCGTGATTGGCTACCCTCAAAACCTAGTAAGCGGATTCCTCTTGATTCTCCAGTATTATCTGTGCTGACTACCTCACCTTTATGGTTTTCACCTTGGCGTGAGCCTTGAGAACACCGATCAGCGGTTCTTAGCAGCTAAACATGATACACTCAATGATCACGTGATTGTTAGTGTAAGGTCTAAATAGGTCACGATCAGCAAGTGCACAGAACA